CCCCCCTTTTTTTTTACAACCCCCCCCCCCCCCAAAATGTGTTTTAAATGGTAGACTTGTACGCTGAATGAATTAGAACGGTTAAATTTTGGCAAGCTAATACAAAAAGGTTGCCGACCCCTGGTGCAGCCTACCTTAAACTGAAGTTGAAAAATATGATCCTGGCCCGCCCCTGGTGGCACTTACCCTCGGCTTCTTCCTATTACAGAAAACCATTTCTTTCCTCGCCTCTGTCCCAGTGTTATCTAGACTGCCCGATTGCCCTCCGACTACACGCTAAAGTCCGACCCACCCTAAAATATATTAACCCTATCCTCAAAGCTACACACTATCTATATTACAACCGTCCAGAAAGAAGTGTGGTATGTGTAGAGATAGCCAGGTTTGTAAATGATTTACGGCATAGCCAGGTTTGTAAATGCTTTACGGCATAGTCAGGCTTGTAAATGCTTTACGGGATAGTCAGGTTTGTAAATGCTTTACGGCATAGCCAGGCTTGTAAATGCTTTACGGGATAGTCAGGTTTGTAAATGCTTTACGGCATAGCCAGGTTTGTAAATGCTTTACGGGATAGTCAGGTTTGTAAATGCTTTACGGCATAGCCAGGTTTGTAAATGCTTTACGGCATAGCCAGGTTTGTAAATGCTTTACGGGATAGTCAGGTTTGTAAATGCTTTACGGCATAGCCAGGTTTGTAAATGCTTTACGGCATAGCCAGGTTTGTAAATGCTTTACGGCATAGCCAGGTTTGTAAATGCTTTACGGCATAGCCAGGCTTGTAAATGCTTTACGGGATAGTCAGGTTTGTAAATGCTTTACGGCATAGCCAGGCTTGTAAATGCTTTACGGGATAGTCAGGTTTGTAAATGCTTTACGGGATAGTCAGGTTTGTAAATGCTTTACGGCATAGCCAGGTTTGTAAATGCTTTACGGCATAGCCAGGTTTGTAAATGCTTTACGGGATAGTCAGGTTTGTAAATGCTTTACGGGATAGTCAGGTTTGTAAATGCTTTACGGCATAGCCAGGCTTGTAAATGCTTTACGGCATAGCCAGGTTTGTAAATGCTTTACGGGATAGTCAGGTTTGTAAATGCTTTACGGCATAGCCAGGTTTGTAAATGCTTTACGGCATAGCCAGGTTTGTAAATGCTTTACGG